GGGACTTGTTCGGGAGTGATGTTAAATGATGTCGGATTAAGAATGAAAATCAAGTCATCAAGAGGATTGTCAGTGAAGACCCACCGGAAATTACGGCAGCAAAGAAGGTTTCCTGACAATAGGTTGGGAGAAATTCACATTTTTATCCTGAATCTGAATAGGGAAATACAGTACATCCAATCTGGGGTGGATATTTCTGGGGATGTTCAGAAATGAACATTACTGTCTGTACGCTGTCTCTGCATTGTACCGGTAGGTGATGGTCTTTTATTTAACAGTGTCAGAGTCTGTTGTTATTTTCATTTAAATGAGTAATTGGTCACATGTCAGAAAAATTTACCAAACGAAGATTAAAAATTTAGTTTTCAGATTAGATAAGAAGATAGCCTGATTTTTCACATCGGTGTAAATCAAACATTTTAAACCTCAAATGACACCTCATATAATCCCATCATATCTTCTTCTTACATATACTACTGAATTTGGGGGTTATGTCATCTAGTCTCAACCCTGTTTCACTGTTTCTCTAAGGACATTCAACAGCTTATGAAATTAATTTAGTCAGGCGCACAGCTCTGTGACTGATGATGACTTCTGGATAGATGTGAGGGGAAATCAGGCTGCACCATGGTGGGACAAATGGCGGTAACACATTTGTGACAGTCCTGCACTTGAGCCATGGCATTAACTGCTCCACCAGTGCGATGGCCAACAAAGTGACTACTGTGTGGGCATATTTATTCAAGCATGAATCATACATAATGAACAAATAATGAAACAATCATTCATACCTGTGGGACAGCTCGTAGCTCTCATCCATCTAATGTGTGTCATTGAGGGGAAACACAGATGAAACCTGGAAAGAATGCAGGGACAGCATGCAGACCGCACACAGAGAGGAGTGGAGCTAGACACTCAGCCGCAATGTAATGCATTAGCTAATTGGTGTCCATAAACATGGGCAAACAACCAAACAACTGTTTTTCTGATAAAAAAAAAAAAAGTATTGTTATTAATTATTGTTATTAAGTGTTGTTCATAACCAACAAACATTCCACCGTGATCCATTTAAGCATTTTCTGATCAGGCATCCCAATCAGCAGGACATTGTTTGTCAGTGCCTTCCAAATCAGGGAGTTCGATCTGGCCACAAAATAATATCACAATCTATTTAATGACTTCAATTTAGTTGATCTTTTTTCTCGATTTTGAAATTACCTGTAGGTATCCATTGGCACCATTAAAATATTATTAAAGATGTTAACATGAGATGTTATTAAAGATACTACACAGGTTTCAAAATGGTGATTTTGTGATAGTTGTTTACAACATGTCACCCAAAGAAGAGCCATGTAAAGTAACAAGCACAGCCATCTTGTTGGCAACATCACTCCATTGGTTTGTTCACATAGCGCAGATCCAGGAGGAGGACATTAAATACTGCAATATTTAATGTTATTCACCTGAAAAGTAGATTGTGGAGGCCTTAGACCACAATCTTGATCTCAAACCCACAGATTTCCAACCCTTACTTCCACAGTGTTAGAAGAAGAACAAATGATATTCACAGCACCTCTGTGGTTGTGTTTAGACAACTATTTGTGAGTTCAGGCTGGGAGAAAATCTCAGTCAAGGTTAAAAGAAATCTAATTTTGACAATGGGTTGGAACGGGATCTAACCACCCAATGTCCCCCTTGAGAGGTTTTTAGAGTAACATCACTCTGCTTCTGTCTTTGCTCTTGAGAAACAACAGTCATCATTCACACAACCGCTAGAGGTCACACAAAATATAAACAAGGGCACCCCTGTGGCTTAGTGGTTAAAATGATGACCATGAACTGCAACATCCCTGGTTTGAATCTGTGGACTTTCTCTCCCTCATTTCCCATCATCTGACATATTTCCTTCTACTTCATCTATGTATACAATGCATATAAAGTGAATAATATCACAAAAACATACATTAAATGCTTAGTGACACTGAAAAAAAGCTGCTACTAACTAAATGGGAATGTTGATGAAAATGGCAGCACATCATCGAGTGTTTCCTCACTATTATCAGCTTCAATGCTTCACATCCTACAGCAGCATAATGCTAGTGAGTCTAAACCATTGGCACCTAGGGAGACAAATTCAAATATAAATACCTTTTTAAAGCAAACTAATAACACAAAACCTGTGGAAGAAGTCAAAAATATGTTGGTGTATCCTCTTATTAGCGACATAAAAGGTTAGGAAACACAGGGAAACGATGAGCAAAAAGAGGGAAAACACACACGCTTATCTCACAGTCACTCACTTCGCCTAATTAAGAGCGCTCAAGGCAGTGCTAAAGTCGGCAATGCTACAAATGGGTTCCCAGGTCCCCCGGGGGTGCAGAGTGTAGAGCAGCACCGGAATAAAAATAAACACATGACAACTGCAGCATGATAATGCATTCACCAACGATGCTATAGGGGGCTCCCCGAGTGGAGGAGTTCAGTACTGACATCAAAGGGGGGAGCTGAAGCTTGTGTGTGTGTGTGTGTGTGTGTGTGTGTGTGTGTGTGTGTGGGTGTGTATGTGTGTGTGACGGGCACATTCGGTATATATTGATGTTGACTTTTGCTGCAATGTTCAAGCTTCTTCTTTTTTCCTCCCTAAGCCAGGCTGGATAACGCTGAGTAGATGGAGATACAGTATCTTTGGCAGCAGAGCCAGACTACCATGAAAACTGTCTGATCTCAACAGCTTCAAATGAAATGTAACCGCCTTCCTGGTGCTTCATTTCGGGACACGGGAGAAGCCTAATAGTGTTGACTATGTAACTAAGTGGACCGAGCTTCTGGGTTGCTTATTAACCGCTGAGTGGATGGAAGCAAATGAAATAAAAGCCAGTAGTTACGGATAATTTGCTTTCTATTTCTCGCTCAGACACAGGTATATAGAGCACTCTAAATGCATTTCCAAACTGCCCAGCTGCAGCTTTATACCAATGATAGCCTTTTGAATCCCAGTCGGTTTTAGAAGCTGATGTTTCACACTCACATCCTATATTTCCTTGACGCAAGAACAAATGTGATGTGCAGGTGGCTAAGTCAACATGGAGGAGGACACAAAAACGAATCACCAGTGAAATTCTATGTAAATGCAAATTATGGTGCTTCAAGATCAAGTGAAAAAGACAAATATGGATTAAATGTGACATATTTTGCTAAACTGGATACAACAGGTGAAAAGGAGACTTAATGAAAGACAGAGCAGGGAATAAAAATTGTAAACTGAACATTAGTAAAACATGTCCAAACCATACTTATTTTGATTCCTCACTGAGCAATAAAAACTCTTAAATTGGCAACAACAAAAAAAACGACATGATCAGATCTTCAATACAAGGTTTTGGCACGTTTTCAGAAGACCCTAGTCTTTACCAAAAAGTATTGAGGATCAATACCCTGCCTTCCTACCCTGAGACGAGAGGAAGGGTATTTGAATTTTTCTGGCACTAACTGAGTTTGGTATTGATACCAAAATGATACTCATTTCACTTAGTTTGAGAAATTTGCCTAAAGATGTTGATTTAAATCAGGAGCAAATTTGATCAGACATTGATTCGGTGCCAATTTCAATACTAATACATGCATTTGAGCCCGCTCCAATAATGTATGAAGGAGAGGAGAGAAGATTGAAAATAACAAGAAATTGGATAAAAAAAGAGAACAGCTGAAAGGATGAGAGCATGTTCCCTCTACTGGTGTCTGTTAGCTGTTTCTCTGCCCTGGAGCGACAGAAAGGACAAGGAAGAGATGGGGGGCGGGGGGGGGTTTGGGGTGGGGGGTGTGCATGCTGAGATTCATCATCATCAGTACAGGAGAGACACATGAGGAAAAACACATTTTACATGGGAAAGCCATTTCCTCCATGTGGAGGAGATTAGCAGCCATGCATGCTCCTCCAAGCCCTCCTCCCTCCATCATTTTCTCTCCTTTTCTCTCTTTGCGAGGGCTTGTGGTGCCATGCAACTCTTCTTAGCACAAGCCAAAATGAATAAAGAGGTAGCCCTCTTGTCTACTGAAGCAGGCAGGGGCCTCCCTACGCTCACATAGATAAAGAAAAAGAGGCGCTGCAGGGGTGAAGAGTGACAGTTTGACACCTCCTGCTTTCTAAGTGCCAGGGATGCGCCATATTTTTTGACAGTGTACGAGAGAGAGCAAAGGGTTGCTCTAATAGCCCAGGGACTGCTGGGGCTTCAATTTTGCCATCAAAGCTTCATCCAAAGCTATGTCATATTCTGTGGTGCTAACATGCTCTGCCTGGGTTTCAAGAGGCTCCTCTTTCTGCTGATGATCAAATCTACCTCTGTTACTGAGCTATGTCAAACATGTGGTCTGTCAGTCTTTCAGGCACCTTCTCAGCAGTGAACGAACCTATAAACATCTCAGAGATGGTTGGATTTGTGTGAACAGCGCAGAGGAGGCAGGACTGAAAAGGATGTGGCACATCAACACCTTTGTGCTATATGGACTGAGGGCAGAGCAAGTCTTGTCGGATTAACAAATTAAGAGGCTTTTCTGCCCCCTAGTGACAAGTACAAAGGGGCATTTTCAGCACCAGGGACAGTTTCCCGCTGCTCCACTGCTGCTCTTCATCAAACTGCTCTTCTCTCATACACACTGACAAAATGTGACATCAGTTTATGAATTCACATAAGAATCATTCGACTGAGTGATATCCTGAAATGAATAAAGACGTTTTATACCCAAAATGTCGATACACATGAATTATTGCACAAAGAATCCCTCATGCAAAATGTCAACCCTCAATTAAGATTCCTTTCTCAAGTGTTTGTAGCAGCGTGGGTGATGCAATTTCTACACAACAACAAGCGCAATGGAGAAATTACGCATGGGCTTCAGCCTGCTTGCAGTGTAGACTAGTAGGCATCCAAAGGAATGCGTGCACCACACAGACCATTACTCTCCATATGTGACGACAAAAAAGCTTGAAAATGATCACTTACCCTTTTCCAAACTGAGATTCCTGCAAACTTCAAGTTCTGCCATTTAGGACTGGAGTTGTCGCTCTCACAAGCTCCCTCCATGCGTTTTGGACATCATTTTTTTTTTTTTTTGTATCTCCTAATTGTAACCATTAAAACATGCCTGACTAGTCCATTTCTCCACGATGATCTGACGTTCACATGAAGCGTTCCATGATGATGAAGTGTCACTTTTTTTTGTCCAAAAACGAACCCAGAAACAAACTGCTCCTCAGCATCTGCCTCCCTGTCTGATCTGCAGCGTGGATTCCCGAACCATCAAACCTCTCACATCCACTCCCCTCACCAGGCGCAACACAGAGGCACAACGATAAGCCGATTTCTCACACGCTCAGTGGACTGGACGGAGAGTGGTTGTTAATAAGCAAGCGCTTAAGACGGGCGTGGAGTGAGCGAGAGTGAGTGATAGCGCGCAGAGTAGTGGCATTACCGCCAGAGATGGCCATTTGGACATTTCATCAGCTTTGCATGACAGTCTGGATCAGCTGTTTGGCGACGGTTTGAATTCCCCACCAAAGTGAACCCGTGTCACATCCGTTTGTTTGTTTGTTTGTTTGTTTGCTTTTGCTCAGCTATTCCTCGGTATATCCATGGGAGAAAGAGAAGTCACCACTGCGCAGGGATGCCAGCGCCATGACCCACTTTACGCTTTCTGTGCCTCTAGAGTGTGTCTGTCAGTTTAGGTATCGATGCTTCCTCAGAGGCACAGCAGGACACAGGCTTCACGAAACAATGAGGGATGCTCTACAGTGCAAATACTTAAGCTCCGAGTCCCAGGAGTGCGAAAGAGAGACTGAGAGAGCGCACATGTGTAAACACTCAGAGTTTTTAGCTTGTGTGTGCGTGCGTGCGTGCGTGTGGGAGTGTGTCTAGTTGAGTCGATTCCCTAATGAAAGTTTGGTCAATCTGGATTAGTCATGTTCATTGGTCCACATTAAAGCCATTTAATTTAGGACTGCAGAAGACAATTATGGAGTGACCAAGCACACACACACACACACACACGCAAGCACACACAACACATGCACAAAGACACAGCAACAGACAGTTGTGTTCAAACAGAGGGCCAGAGGCAGAGGTTACCAAATCGATTAGTGCTGTCTGGAAGAGCAAAAAGACATGTCTGAACACCAGTGTCACCCTCAGTTCAGTGCTGCATGTGTGTGTGTGTGTGTGTGTGTGTGTGTGTGTGTGTGTGTGTGCGTTTTCTGTCTGCTCACTGTGTATCAGCAGGTAATTGTGGCTTTCCATCGATTGCTCACTTTGATTTAAGTGTAAACCTCTCTTCATCCACACCTGCCTGATCACAGACAGTCTCCACCCCTGCCCCCAAAACCCCCTTCTCACACTGATTTATGTACCGTAGCCAAACAAAACACATCAGTGCTCTGTCATTTACAAAAGACTGGAAACAACTGGGAGGAAGGGAAAGAGACAGAGTGAAGCAAAGCCATGTGGAAAACAGAAGAGAAGCATATGTTTTCTAAATGGTTCTGACTGACAAGAAAGGACAAACTGTAAGGGACGTGAAGGAAAGAATACAGACAGAGATCAACCAGAACGGAAGTTTGGTGAAGACACAACAAACAGTTTATTCCCAGATAATCTGTTCTGTTTCTCTTCCCTCTCTCCCTCTGGAAAAATTAATGGCAGCTTGAACATAATAACTTAAGGCTATATATCAGCATCAGAATAATGTTATCTTACAAGAAATGGGTTGGAGGGGGTGGAATGGTGGTGCATTTTATTCTGAAAATGTATTTTAATTTCATGCTCAGGCTGTTCATTTTCAGTCTAACAATATCTATTAACCACAGATTCCAGAAGGAGAGCCAACCTTGGCTTGAAGAAGTATATTTACAAAGGGAGAAAAAAATGTGAAATTCCTATAAATGTGATAATATCCTTAAAAACAGATCAATCAAGTCAATCAGGTCAATCCGTCATCCACAGCAGAGTACTGAGGCGGTCAAGCCTGATTTCTATACAAGGAAACACTCATAGTAGCCTACACGGTCTGCAGGTGTTGGGATGTGGACACTGGCTGTAGTAAGTCAAGGTGAGCCTTTAAGTGGTCTGTCTACTGAAGGTGTGAGAGCTACAGAGGCAGACAGAGATCAGAGATTTGTCATTGTCTGGTGGATGCAGCGGTGTGTGCAGTCTCCCCGCCTCGAAACTCATAAATCATTCATTTCAGCTTTAAGGAGAATGAAAACAAAATTTTCTCTGGTTCATTAAAGGTTGTTTGTGTATGAGATTTAAAACATCAATAGCAGCGATAATCTATTTTTTATGTAGTTCTCATCCATATCAGTGAATTGGGGATTTATTTCGACCAATCAGAGAGTTAGTCATTGTTGGGACAGTGGAAAGACTAACAATGGTTTTGTTGGGTTTTATTTTGTTTCTGTCCACTTTGAATGAAGTTATGATGTTACAATAAAATGCAAGGTTAAATTGCCACCTTTTCCTGTGGAGCCTAGTTACGATATATATATAACAACAGTTTCTGGTTAAACAAAAGGTCTATCTCCTAGGATCCTTTTCACAATGTTGTCAGACACACAGAATAACAATCTGAGCATTTTTAATGGATGCACTTTGACCAGAGCATTTGTCCCAAAGGATTAGCTAACATTAAGTCCATTTCACCGGTATTTTATGTATCTAACCTGGTGATTTCAAGGTTTATTTTAAACCAAACCAGTGTTGGTGATTGTTGGAAAGGCTGTGGCAAAGACCTTTTTGGTGAGGTTTTTTTTGTTTCAGTCAAGTTTGAAGTGTGTTTAACGATTATCTGCTAGGTAAAATAGACACCTAGTGGCAACCTTCAAATCGTATCTTAACATAACATACTGGCATTAACAGGCATGCACCTATGTCAGGGTACTCAAGCTGACATCCCCTTGTACATGCTGGATGATGGAAATATCATTAAAAAAAGATTACTTTACTAAAATGTATGAATCATCCAAAGCAAAACAAGGCAGGTATCGAGCCTGCTGCCAGTACAGAGATGTTTTTTTTTTATTTCCACTTAACAATATACAGCCTGAATGAAGTTATGTGGACAGCTTTTCATTCATGTCACACAATGATTCAGTTGCTTGCTGCAGGTTTTGTGTACAGTAAACATTCCGTTTTTACTGATGTCCCAAGCCTGAATCTTGGTTGCGCTGTCACTAGTTGAGGCACAATAGTGGAGAAGAGTCTCCCTCTACTGTTCATTCCCATGACATACAGTACAGAGAACATACTGTACATTATATTGTGACCATTCCATCTTTTTTGTGTGTGTGTGTGTGTGTGTGTGTGTGTGTCTGATATTTACCGTGACAGATTCTGTTGTCTGTGAGGAAGTGCCGTCGGTACTGTGGTTCTCCTTTCCTGTTCACCACCCAGGAGCTCATGGTGAGAGGAGGAGGGATCCAGGAGGATGAACAATTGGATGACCTATGACGGAGAGGAGAATTGAACTGTGTTGTACAAACATTTTGCAGGAATCGAATGAATCTAAAAGGCAATTTAATCAAATATGTTATACAATATATTTAACAAAAATAAATGCACCTTGTGTCTCTTCACAAATTCTTCTAACTCACAAATCTCAAGACAAACAGCACACAAACGCAGTTTAAAAGAAGAAAACTAGTTTATGGGAGGAATGATACAGTATATTAGAAGAGAAGGAAAAAACTAATTTCTTCCTTTCTGGACTTAGAGATAGAGTTACTGTGAGGGGGAACACCAAAAAGGAGATTTTGCAAGATTAGTATTACCAGTTGATTTTCCATAAATTGTGGATTCTCACTGAGTATTCGTGGATATTAAGCCTAGAACTGAGAACATGTGGAGTCAAAATGTTATATTAAAATATTTATATAAGAGACAAGACAAATTATGCAACTTGGTATAAGTGTTTTATAGTTGCGTATGCAAAAGTCTAGGATTGAATGAAACTAAAAACTAACTTATCCTTCTATTGATGTTAAACTTAAGTGACTCCACAGTTTGTGAGATCATACTCTGGCAAAAATTAATCTGCATTTACTTGCATTCTGTAGGCCTGTTATACAAGACAAATCTCTGAATCATTGTTTTATTTTAATGTCTTCTTCTTGTAGTAGTGGCAGCATAACCTCTTGTGTCTGTGTCTGTCTGTCTGTCTGTGTCTGTGTGTGTCTCTCTCTGTCTGTGTGTGTCTCTCTCCGTCTGTGTTTGTCTCTCTCTCTCTCTCACTCTCTCTCTCTCTCTCTCTCTCTCTCTCACAAACACCATTGCTGTTCCTGAGAAACGAATATAACAGGAGGGTTAAAAATGTAACATGTTAATTTTGCCTTTTCTTTCTCTTAGGTTCATGCCTGTGTTAGAAGAACACAGAATTGCAGAAGATGGTCCCCCTGTCACCCGTAGTAATTGGAGCCCACAGCAGTATTTCCAGCAGTACATTAACAATGAACTAATTCAGGAACTGTCCTTCTTCACCAACCAACGTATGGTACAGGAATCAGGATTTAGCTTAAGCACAACACCAGAAGAAATCGAGACGTTTTTAGGAATGTCAGTGTACATGGCATGCCTTGGTTATCCACGAATCAAAATGTACTGGGCTGCCAAAACAAAAGTTCCGATAATAGCTGACTCCATGACACGTGATCGCTTCTATAAAATCAGATCTTTGCTGAAGGTGGTCAATGATCTGGAAGTGCTAGAAGAGGAAAAGACACTGGTCTACTTTGACCGGTATTTTACCATCATCCGTCTCCTGGACGCTCTTCGGAAAAGGGGCCTGCCTGCTATAGGAACAATTCAAAAGAATTGAATCCCAAAAGAGTGCCACTTCACTGCTGACAAGATCCTGAGCAAAAAACCAAGAGGGTCATCAGAAATGATCATACGGAGACCTGATGAAATAGCAGTCACCAAGTGAATGGACAACAAGCCTGTTGTCATGGCATCAACCGTCCATGGGATTGAGCCCCAGGATACCTGCATCAGATGGTCAAAGAAAGAAAAGAGGCAAGTTGAAGTCCCAAGACCTACAGTGGTTGCAGAATATAACAGCAACATGGGAGGGGTTGACATCGCACGCTCAGCTTCTAGAGAATGTCCAGCCGGACGAAGAAGTGGACGGTCCGCACGATGCTCCACTTCACTGATTTGGCCATTACTAACTCGTGGCTTCAGTATCGACCTGCAAAGGACACTGCCAAGTACCTGGAGTTCAAACTCCTCTTGGCTGAGGAACTGATAACCCGGGGACAAGCATGTGCACAAGACTGGAGTGACTCAAGTGATGAAGAATTCACTCCAACACTGAAGAAAAGGAAGATGAGAGAATCCGAAAATATGGTGCGATCCACTTGCCTGAAATGGTCACCAGTCCAAGTCCTTCCAGATGCAGAATGCCTGGGTGCACTAGTAGAACCTATGTGAGATGTGTTAAATGTGACATGTTCCTGTGTGTCTCCAAAAAGTCACAGTGCTTCCTCACATATCACAAATGAATTGGTATTTGTGAACTGGCAAACCAAATGTTCATCCTAGGCCTATGGCCAGTGAAAAGTTGAATGAGTTGTATGTGCATTTGACCCTGACAGAGTTGTTTCCTATGTTTTTGTGAAGTTTTTATGCAGTTTGTGTGTGTTATGTTGATATCCGGCCAGATTTTATATTATGTTAATGAGTTAGGGTCGAGCTAAATTAAGTCCTGTTGTGCGTAGTGTACAACGGGACTTAATTTA